TGCATCAGTAGCAATGTCACGAGTCATCAGCCCCTGCTCCACCACTACTCCTGCTATTTCTCACACATGACAGTAGTTCTGTCATGACAGTAGATGGATGTCACGATATTCAGCATGACATTCACATTAAAACACTCCACAACAGTTCTGTCACCACAGTAGATGGAGTTGTTATAACAACCTGCTTATCATTAGTGTAGGATCATGTTATACCAAAATTTAGCCAATCATAGAACCATAGAAACATGGAACTAACATTGGGGATGACATCAAAATATTAGTCGGTGACTAATACATCAAGTTTTAAGACTTCCTCTCGTAGCTCTCCTCTCTCTGTGACGTTATTCCTACGTTGCTATCAAGTATCATGAGCTTGTGCCAGATCTTGTTGTACAACAACTTAAGTTACCATCGTTTCTCCGTTTCTCTTCGATAGATTGTTTCTTATTTCTCCTTTGTTGTGTCGATTTTTTCTTTTCTGTAAGTGAGAGACATAGTTGCAAAATTTCCCCCCTCCCCCCGATTGTGTTGTTATGCTTGGTTATTTCATGAGAAGGAAGGGGAAAACTGTATTCTTGATTTCATGTTTGGGTTTGTAACTTTATGTATTGCTATTTCATGCTATTCGTAAGGATGAAGATTCAATGTCGTAAAAAATATTAGAGATTTGATAGTATAATTCAAACATGGTTTTAGTTATTTGAATTTCTCCATTTTTGCAAAGTTTGGTCTCTGAGGAGTAGGTTTCATCATGTTTTGCAGATGACATAATTTTTGAAATGAAATCGTGTATCCAAGTGATGAGAATCAAATTGTTTTTTTTTTTGTTCTTCTTGTATTATTTTGATTAATGAAAAGAACAGTGCGAAAGAGATGAAGAAGGAGTGCAAATGAAAAAGAAAGTCTGAGTATGTTTATTTCCTCTTAATCCATTGACACATGTCTTATTATCACTGGTTGATGGTTAATGTTGAAAAGTTAAACCAATATTTTACTTTTTGTTTTTTAATTGTTTTTTATATTTACATTATTATTATTATTATTATTATTATTATTATTATTATTATTATTATTATTATTATTATTATTATTATTATTATTATTATTATTATTATTATTATTTAGGTTTAGCATAAGTTTTATAGTTAGGCCATTTGGATGTGAGATGGTAGACCCATTAATCATGACACCTCCTATAATTTGAAATAAATATACGTTGTTTTTATTTGATTTTTATTGCACTTAAATAGGTTTTTTAATTCGTGGATTCGACAATGTTATGTCACTGAAATTTTCGATACATTGATAAGATATTTTTGTCGTGTTATGATCTTTGATTAAGACATTTCACTCATTTGTCATTACGCACAAACCGGTTTGAGCACATGGTTAACTCGCTTCGATCATTTTGCACTCGATCTTGTTGCTTATTTATTTTTAATTAATCTAATTAATCAATTAAGGTTTTGTTTAATTAGATTAGTTTATTAATCAATTTTAATTAACATGATTATTTGATTACATTAATTTTTAATCAAACAATTTTAATAATTAATTTTCTTTAGCTTAATTAAATGATTTAATCAAAGTTTATTCAATTTATTTTGTTAAATAAATATTGAACTCCTTATTCCACTATCACAAATTCAAAATCATTTAAAAATCAAGCCCATTCAATCTCATTCCTATTCAAAATCATTTCAAAATCATTTTCATAACTCAATAGAATAAAATATGATAAAAGAGAAAAGAATACCATACGTGCAAAATAAAAAAAAATTATTGTAAAATCTGAAAAAACAATTAACATCAGTTTCTAATGAAACTTTAAATACATGAACAATACTAAAGTGTAGGACTAACATGCATTTTTATTATATATTTAACTAATAGTAAATAGTAAATTAAAGTTATTGTTATAAATAGAAATATTATTTTAATTAGGGTTGATAAGCCAAGTTTCTCCTTCAATAAAATGAATTTCAAGAAATGGTTGAACCTCTTCATCTGTTAGATTTCATGCCCATGGAGCTCTTCCGGAAAAATTAGATCCAGGTCCGCTACATATATACTTACCATAGGATATTGTCTTGCTGCATTTATAGTCAATGCATTTAATAAAAAACTTGTATAAAGTCAAAAATTTGATCAAAGAATGTACTCACGGATAGTGTGTTCCATTCATAGTATCTTCCCATCCTTTAGGTAGAACAATCTCGTTCATATAGGTGTAAGAGTAAATGACTCTCGAATATTCTGCTCATGGTCTTCTTAGATAAACTTGTCCACTACCTTTCACAGTACATTTTTAAAAAGAAAATCCAGTATCTAACGATGAACTTGATCGCTTTTGAGAAGTAATATATCATATGCTCTTAGAAATTGAATTTAGAGTGCATTCCTGAAATGAATAAAAAATTAAATTTTGATCAATTAAAAAACAAGCAATTAAAAAAAATAGCCCTGCAACAACTACAAGTAGCTTACAAAAAATCACGAGCACTTTTGAATCAATCATAATAATTACATTTGATTCTACTGCTAGAACTAATAGCTAACCACTAGAACTAATATCTAGAAGTATAGATAATTATGTAAACTATTGTTCTATAACAAAAAGAGTAATTTGATGAGAATATTTTATGCAACATATTTTTAGTAGTGGTAGAATATTATTCTGAAGACCTTATAAGAAACATAAATTAAAATTGGAAGAGTACCTCATATAGGGACCTTCCAAAACCAAAGATGAAATCAATAAAGCCTTCTATGAAGTAATTTTTGAAGAAATGAAGGCCTTTGCGATCATATAGAGTGTCTTGAACTCCTTATTAGGAGCTCTTCTTTTAGAAGCCAAGCTTGGATCATCCACTTGTTGAGAAGACCATCTGATAGATACTTCACTAATACCAAAGGTACTGTTTAGTAACAGTATCTTTATTGTTGAAACATCAAGTCTTACACCCTTGACTCAACCTGTCTATGTCTTCCTCTGCTGATAGATTTTTTGCAAGTCATGAGTGGTAAAAATAAATCACCTCCCACTATCTTCTCTAAAACAGTCTTCAGCAATCTGCCACAACCATAAGACAATCTTCTCCCAGGGCTACATAGTTCTTTCATCAGAAAAATATGCAGCGGAAACACCAAAAGAACATCTTCAACAACCCTAAACAAGATGTCAGAACCTACAACAGATCATAGGAACTCCTATAACAGAGGGCACATCAGCATATACAAGCTTCTCCTTAGCTCCATAAGCAGTAGCTCAACCATTCAACAAATCAGCTACAACTTCTCCTTGTTCAAAACACCAGAAAGTATCTCCCAAGATCTCATTCAGAACAGACAGGATGCCTGCTCTGATACCAATTGCAATTCTGGTATGCAAATTTCAGATGTTCCAAGAACATTGATCTTTGCTTGAACAGAACAAGGACATAGGGTAACCAATTTAAATTTCTTTAAATTGTACCAATGTCATGACCAATGTCATGGCGTCTGTTGTAACATCTGTAATCTGACAGAATATTTATCTAACCATTTAAAGTGCATAATTGTAAATGCAGAAAGATAAATAACACAGTAATTGTTTACCCAGTTTAGTGACAACAACACCTACATCTTGGGGCTACCAAGCCAGTGAGGAAATTCACTATTAGTAGAATCAATTCAGAGTTAAACCTCCAATTTACACTCCTCACTTAATCCCTACCCAATGACACTTCAACCTAGAGACACTCTAGACCTGAGTATACTCACTCACTCCCCTCAATCACACAACAGTGATATCGAACAATTACAGAATTTAATATGAAGAGACACTTCATACACACCTTGATCTTGCTTCACAGCTTTGATCAAGGAACTCACACACTCTTACTTCACAGCTTTGAGTGAAACACAGCCTAGAATTTACCTAACTAAAACAATCATCCACCAGACAATTACTTGGATTTCAAGTATTCCTAAACAGACTTTACATGTGAAGACTAACCTTCTTCACTTACCAATATGTCTACCACAATGTATCAAAAGATACAAAGGGTGACTTACAAGGACACACAAGGGACTCTCAAACCCTAGACCTTTATTTTACACTCAAGTTATTATTATTATTATTATTATTATTATTATTATTATTATTATTATTATTATTATTATTATTAATATTAATATTATTATTATAATTATTATTTAGGTTTAGCATAAGTTTTATAGTTAGGCCATTTGGATGTGAGATGGTAGACCCATTAATCATGACACCTCCTATAATTTGAAATAAATATATGTTGTTTTTATTTGATTTTCATTGCACTTAAATAGGTTTTTTAATTCGTGAATTCGACAATGTTATGTCACTGAAATTTTCGATACATTGATAAGATATTTTTTTCGTGTTATGATCCTTGATTAAGACATTTCACTCATTTGTCATTACGCACAAACCGGTTTGAGCACATGGTTAACTCGTTTCGATCATTTTGCACTCGATCTTGTTGCTTATTTATTTTTAATTAATCTAATTAATCAATTAAGATTTTGTTTAATTAGATTAGTTTGTTAATCAATTTTAATTAACATGATTATTTGATTACATTAATTTTTAATCAAACAATTTTAATAATTAATTTTCTTTAGCTTAATTGAATGATTTAATCAAAGTTTATTCAATTTATTTTGTTAAATAAATATTGATCTATTTATTACACTATCACAAATTCAAAATCATTTAAAAATCAAGCCCATTCAATCTCATTCCTATTCAAAATCATTTTCATAGCTCAATAGAATAAAATATGATAAAAGAGAAAAGAATACCATACATGCAAAATAAAAAATTTTATTGTAAAATCTGAAAAAACAATTAACATCAGTTTCTAATGAAACTTTAAATAGATGAACAATACTAAAGTGTAGGATTAACATGCATGTTGATTATATATTTAACTGATAGTAAATAGTAAATTAAAGTTATTGTTATAAATAGAAATATTATTTTAATTAGGGTTGATAAGCCAAGTTTCTCCTTCAATAAAATCAATTTCAAGAAATGGCTTAACCTCTTCATCTGTTAGATTTCGTGCCCATGGAGCTCTTCCGGAAACATTGGATCCAGGTCCGCTACATTTATACTCACCATAGTATATTGTTTTGCTGCATTTATATATAAAGTTAGTCGATGCATTTAATAAAAAACTTGTATAAAGTAAAAAATTTGATTAAAGAATGTACTCACGGATAGTGTGTTCCATTCATAGTATCTTCCCATCCTTTAGGTAGAACAATCTCGTTCATATAGGTGTAAGAGTAAATGACTCTCGAATATTCTGCCCATGGTCTTCCTAGATAAACTTGTCCAGTACCTTTGACAGTACATTTTTTAAAAGAAAATCCAGTATCTAACGATGAATTTGATCGCTTTTGAGCAGTAATATATCCTATGCTCTTAGCAATTGAATTTAGAGTGCATTCCTGAAATAGATCAAAAATTAAATTTTGATCAATTAAAAAACAAGCAATTAAAAAAAATAGCCCTGCAACAACTACAAGTAGATAACCACTAGAACTAATATCTAGAAGTATAAATAATTATGTAAACTATTATTCTATAACAAAAAGATTAATTTGATGAGAATATTTTATGCAACACATTTTAAGTAGTGGTAGAATATTATTTTAAAGACTTTATAAGAAACAGAAATTAAAATTGGAAGAATACCTCATATAGGGACCTTCCAAAACCAAAGATGAAATCAACTGAGCCTTCTATGAAGCAATTTTTGAAAAAGTGAAGGCCTTGGTGATCATATAGAGTGTCTTGAACTCCACGGAATGTACAATTGTAAAAAGCAGATTTGTTACCAGAAATGCGAAGCGCAACAGCTTGTTCTACTTTCTTTCCAAAATATGAAGCAGAGTTCTATTTAACAGATAAATAAACTTAGTGAGCAATTATTTTTATCATAATTAATTTCCATGTTGTTTCTTAAATATTTGTAAAAACAATGATATATAATAAGAGCATAAATAATTTGTAGGATATTTTTGAATAAATACTAGGTTAGTTTATTATGTAAGTACCTCAAATGTAATGTTGATGGCCATAAAGCAGTTGAAGTTTCAAATAATATATTTGAGTAAATATTACGTAGAAGAATTTGGCAAATTTGTTATATACAAGTCAAGATCCAAATTAAGAGATTTATTTTATCAATTGTAGTGTGGATTTGTTATGGTATGAACTCTTGAATATAATTTTCAAATAACCAGGAACTATGCAGGTTCAAATGGGAAACCATTAAAGAGTGCATGTAGGCTAAGCGAGGACGAACGCCGAAGCAATATAAGTCTCAGTGTCATCTCTCTAACTCTTACTCTTACATTTAAATTTATATTGATTGCATGCTAGATTTTTCAATTCCTTCATTTTATATCATTTTGTTCTTAATAGCAATTTATTACGTAAAACTTTTGGTTTTGATGGAATTGGATAACTAGTCAAGCTATTCTTGTGATTGATAAATCTGAAAACAAATTGAATATTATAATTCCACACATTGAATTAATTGTGTACACTCCTTGGGACTACACATATTGAATCAATTCATACCAAGTGTTTTATTATTATAATTTTAGATATTTGTGAAATAAACTGTGTTAGCTACCTTGATCATATTCAATTGTATAATTTTAATTTCGTTTCAAACCTTCCGCTCGCAACTCATTTTTAAAAACACTCTGATTTTGAAAAATGGAGGTTACTATTTTTAATTTGGGTCAATTCACCCCTTCTAGACCGTTTTGCTACTTCCATATTGTTAGCTCCTAATTTCGACGCCCCGTTTAGAAGAAAGGAATTCAAGATAAAAGGGCAAGGGTAAGTTGAGAACGAAAGATTGGTCGAAAGATGTAAAGCAGCCAAAAGAAGAAGTCGAAGAACTCACCCAAAAGTTAGGAGTTCGACCGCTTGCAGTTGTGAATGGTTCGTCGAAGGATTTGAAATTCAAAAGTTGGAGGGAACGGTTTTGCTTGCTAAATACTTAAGAAGACACGTGACACCTTATGAGCAGTAAATCCATGCATTTGTGATAAGTGGCGATAGGAGGTGATGTTGGAGGTTATTAGAAGTTATTTTTTACTACTATAAATAGGATGTCTTAGACATAGGCAAAGGGTGTTGTAATTTACTATTGTACAAATTACTCTTAAAATTACTCCAAGTATCCGAGCGTAGAGAAAGCGAGTATTATAGAGAATGTACGTGATGTAAACACACCATCTTTTCACCTAATGAAATTTACTTTATTTTGCTTTAAACTTTATAAAGTCTTTATTGTCTTTGCACCTTTCTTCCTCACTTTCTTTATTATTCCTCTTTTTCCTATGCAATTCCTTTCTCTTCGCCCTCAATCTAATTTCTCCTCTCTAAACAAACTTCTTTCTCTCTTTTATTGAAAGCATTATTTTATTTTCTAAGTTATTCCGTAGTCGAATAGATGTTTCTTTAAGATTCTTTCACCCCAATACTGTTTGAGTGTGAAACTTGGATAGATTTTCAAAACGAGAGCCTTTAGCACATGTCCTAGGATCAATCTGATCGATCCTGTGAGTCACCAAAGTTAGATTTGGAAGACCAGCGGTTGTTTTCCGATTTTCAAGAGAAACACATATTCACAGCTAACATCTTCTCATTCACGTGGTCTAAAATTGGTTTCAACATATTTCAAGAAATTCGAACATTCCACCCACACCCTTCTGAATTTTATAATAGATTCATCATATAACTCCTTAGTAGAAGAATTTATTATAACATTACAAGCATTCGTTATGCTTTCCAATATTACACCAGGTTTGACCAATTTGTTTTCTTCAATTTTTATATGTTTGCTCTCTACCACGTACTTAAGTCTAACTCTCATATTTTTGGTTATATGATACTTACATAGTAAAACATATCATGTAGGAAACTATTTTGCAACTGAATTCATCAAAACTGTATCGCGATCAGTAATAATCACACGTGGCATGTTATCTTGAGATTTTAACATAATCCAACACAGTTCCAAAACCCAGGAAAAATTATCCTCTTTTCACTCTACAAAAATGCAAACCCAACTGATAAAATACATATCTATAGAAGTAACACCAACAATTTCAAAAAATGGAAGTTTGTAATTGTAGGTCTTATATGTTGAATCAATAATTATCAGCACAGTGGAAAATATGTTAAACATATTGATGGAATCCACATGAGTCCAACATATATATGAAATAATTTTTTCCTACCTCACTGTTGCACCCCAAAATTTGACCAACAATTATTCACCTATCAAGTGTTTGAAGGTTGATACCTTCATCAGAAAGTTCAAGAGATCCTCAGAGGAATTGGTTGAAACCAAGGTTGTGTGCTCCATAGCTTGAGAGTTGTGGGAGCTCCTCAGATGATTCTGAGACTTTAAGAATGGACTTGAAGCTTTGAGAAAGTCTATGAGATGTCTTGAAAGCCATCATGGAGCCTAGAGAGGTCATTATGCAAGAATTCAGAAGATTCAGCCATGAGTGGTGAAATTAGGGTTTTGACTGGGTCAACCCTAAGTCAACTGAAGATTTGGAGAAGGTTGAGACCTAATCCAAGGTCCATGAGATCATGGAATGATGTATGGAGATGTTATAAAGATGATTCCTAGACCAACTCATCATGATTGAGGAGTTTGAGAAATTTTGAGTTAGGGTTTCCAAGGATTGTCAGTGAAAAAACCCTAATTTGACCCCTATCTTCCAGGAAGTTTTAGCTCAAGATGTGATTGATATCTCATCTTCCCCACAACATGAATGTTGTATAGCTTGTTCTTAGCTTCAATTTGAGTGGTAGAAGTCCTTGATAGGAGTTGTAGAGCTCAAGTTATGGTTTTGACAAATTACAGGTCAGCTGAGGTGTGTGAATCTGGGTCCTTGAAAGTCACCCAACTTGCAGACAACTTTTGCCCTAGTAGGATGATTCCTATGATTTCTTGGACAACATGAATGTTGAAGAGAATCTTCTTAGCTTTCTATAGATTACTAGAAGTCCTTTATAGGATTTGTAGAACTCAACTTATGGTTTGAACAAGACAGGGGTATTTTGGTCATTTGGTGATTATAGGTCATTTTAAGCAAAGGCCATATCTCCTAGTTCCAAGCCTAAAATGAAAAAACTCAAAACATCAAAGTTGTCCAAAATGGGATTTTAAGCCTATAAAAGTGGTCATGAGTTATTGAAAAAGCTTGTAGCAAGGATTTACAAGATTGGGTAAAAATGACCTAAAAATGGCTTATAAGTTGAAAAAGTTGAAATGGAATTTTGGTTTAGGAGATGTACAAATCCAAAATGGGTCATCCAATATGTCATTTTGACTCCAAACATTATTTTAAAAACAATGGTTCAAGTAGAATTTTGATTTGAAGCATAGAAATGGGGGTTACTTTGTAATGTTGTTACCAGCATATTAAGGCAACTTGACAAAACTTCACCAAAGGCAAGGAAGTGCATGTTTTTCACTCATTCTTTCTCAATATCTCTTGTAAGGAGATTTTAAAGCCAATTTGACAAGCTTAAGGCATGAGATAAGGGATATCCAATGTATCACTTCAAGAGAAGTTCTAAAACTTTCTAGATGATTCCATAAGTTTCTAGATGAATCTAGACTCTTCTTTGGATTGCTATAAGAAGGGTAGATCACCATGAGAAGAAGGTTGGTGATGGTTGTTGGTGATTGGTGAGGTTAGAGTGCAAAAGAGTGAAATTCTTCCATTTGCAATTCCACAACAAACTTCCATTCTCTGCCATTTCCATTCTTTTCTTCTCCACAAACACATTCTTTTGATCCTTATGATTACTTGCATACTGAGTTAGAGGAAGATCCATGGAGATTTGAAGCTTTGTTGAAGAATTTGCAAGAAAAGCATATTGATATCAAACACAAGATTCAAGCATTGTTCATCAATCTTTTTGCATACAGAATTCTTATCTTCCATTAAAGATCAATCAGGGAAGGTTGCAGGCATTGAATTGGAGTGAAACCATATCCACCATTACAACTTGACAGGTTGGTAATTTTACTCGTATCACCTTATTTATATGCATTCCATCATAGTTCTAGGGTTAGACTTGTTAAGATAAGATAGAGGACTGTTTTCTGAGAATTTGAGGAAGTTTCATGAAGTTCCATGGCAGACCCCAATTTCTTTCAGTTTCAAGAATGAGTCGTGTGTTGGGTATTGATGGACATGGTATGGTTTAGAATGGTCAGGGTAATATGAGGAACAGGATTATACCATTAGAATTAAGTTGCATTAAGGTTGACCACAGAGAATTATGGTTGAACCCTAATCTTCACGCATTCTGTTTGGATAATGCAAGGCATTTCAGAGAAAGTTATGGTCATGGCTGTGTTCCTGGGAGTGAGTAGAATAATTTTGGCGTTGGAATTATTTGATTTCATGGTCACACGAAGGAGAACGAGTAAGGTGAAGATCCCTGCATGGAGGGAGGGTTTTCTGAAACCCTAGGTTGAGTTGGAGAAGACGATCCCTCCACCGTTGGATCACTCCTCTTGATTGACTTTGTAGCATCATCGTGCGGTCCTTGTTCAAACTTGGAGAACGGAGGGAAACCCCACGCTGCAACGCAGCGTTTCATTAAAACTGAAACCATGGGCCTCAGAAACTTGTGCTATTGGCACCCCACCCAGAAGCCCAATCCAATTTTTAACTAAAAAACATTGTTATTCATACCGTCGTTTTACCAATTTCTGTTTAATTTTTCCTTCATTTTCTGAGCGCAGGTGGGCCTTAATATTTTAATATCTGCACCACCCTTTCCTGGCCCAATGGTCAATATAACTGGGCGCAGTTACTCATGACACCCCCATCCCTTTTTCTTATATTTTCATATTTTAATTTCTTTTATATTTCTTGCATTTTAATAAATTCATATAAAATAGAAAAATTAATATTTTTCACTTATTGTTTTTTTCACATATTCATAATCATGTCTAGAAAAATGTAAATAAATAAAATTCCATTTTATTTTTCTTTTAATATTTTTAGCATATTATTCTTGTAAA